CAATTTCTCAAATAGATAGGAAAACCCGACAAAAAGGTTATATTCTATGTTAATTGCAGTCGCCTAGTAATACCCAACGATCCTGGAACTGAAAATTTCCTTTTATCCATTCCCGCTGCATTTGCTCCGTTAATAACATTTGCAGTTGCACATACCAGATAGATGAAATTGATCCTTCTTCTAACGGAGTTCAGCACACCCTCTTCAAAGAAGAATTTTTATTATTGGAACCTTCAACACTTTGATACCGACTTGTTGACGTAGACTTTGTTGTGTCGTTCAGTCACACGTGGTCATTAGTTGCTGGAAACAGCAGTTTTAAATCTCATCTGAATTTCTTGGGCGTGTTAGGAAATGATTGCTTTCAAACTGTCTAAACCTTATGTTTATCCTAGTCGGGGAGAGTGTTCTGAAACTACAAGACTATCCAAATGGGAATCTCACGTACATATTGTACTGCTATCTGAATACACGATATTTTCCCCATTTAACCCACCAAAACGCTGGGGCTCGAACATGTGGGATATAAACTTGCACAGCATGTAAAAGATGTCCTCATTTTTGGAGAGGTTAATGCGCCAAACTCGCCTGACAAGCCTTGACTGTGCTGAGTCTATCTTTTATATTCGATCACCAATTGCTGGGATAAAACATTTCGCAGGGAGATATTCAAGAATAAAGGTAAGTCGACAGTACCACGGACAAACCTCTTGCATGGATCGATTGACTAATACAGGAACACTTTCAGCTTGTTTTAAACTTATTGACTGAGACTGTCAATTTGGCGAAAGAACACAAACAACCATCCGGTATAGAGAGGTCCTTAATTTCCAACTGCCTTCAAAAGGAGCAGTAGGTTCTCAAAGTGTTTTTGATTCATTACATGATAACGAAGTATGAAGCTAATAGACTTCGAAGGAACTATACGTATTGTGGGATTCTTTGCAACATTCAAGGGTCTTATACGGCTACATATGCAATAACGTGGGGAATCGCGACCGTATTTGGGTACTCGTGCTCCATACCTTGTTGGTGATGGAGGGCTAAATGAAAGCAACTGTCTTCGTTAATATCTTGTGGTTAGTTTTAATTCCTAAAGCCAATCCACTGTCTCTTATTAATAAAGAACAGCAATGGCATCGTTTGCACTAGCAGAGGATTGTTGGGATTTTTCTTTTTTTTCTACTTGAGTTTTTTTCAGTGACTTGTATTGTTTCCTTAACTAGAATTATTTCTAAATTTTGATTTAGCCCCAATCCTAACACCACCTCTGAAACTATCGTTTGTGACTCGACTCTTTTTTCAAGTTTTCATTACTACCAGTTCACAGATGTATCTACAAATCTATCCCTTACGCCATCACAGTAGTCTAACTCGCGCAATTAACGTCAGTCCGTGATGCTATCCGACAAACAGTTAGAAATCCCACCTCAAATGGACTTTGACAAAGTCTCAAAGATAACTTCGGTGGTCCGCCTCCGGATGGCAATCCAGTTGATTAGATAGGATTTGGCCCCATTTGCTGATGCAGACTGACAAATTAAGCCTTCTGGGCCGAGAACAGGCTGGGGCGTTTCCTAGCTGGTTGGTTTTCTTGGTGCTCTTCCGTGGCAATTGAGTTAGTTTTTAGTAGTAAGGCACTACAAATTACCTCGGTTTCTCGGTTTCAGCATTTGTATTAATCTTCGGTTTTCTATAACTCCTTTGATGTGCAATGCCCAGTGAGCGTACTCTGTTGTTTCAGGCCTCAAATTACTCCTTATTAATCAAAATGTATGATCACAAGCCCGTTTGAATCAGCCTCACGAACATTTTGTCGGTTTAAAAATGCCGCGTGTTAAACAGCTGTTTGCATTTATCAGTCCGACTTTGTTCTGAGCTCCCCGTTTTCCTCCTCGTTAGCATGCACTCCTCACTGAATATCTTGCGGGCACTACCCAGAGCGATGGGTACTGGATACCGGAGCTTGAGCACTAAAGCTGGTCCAATCCAAAATACCATTCGGGAAAAGCTGACGACCCTCTTCAAGGTACTTTACTGAGCCTTCTCAGAGATTGACTCCCTCATTCTCCAATTTCAGCCGAGTCACCTCGAGATTATCAATGACAGCAAACTACATGCTTCTGGTAAAGGTATGCACGTGCAGTTTGTCATTTTGCACCCCGCCCCTTCAAGGTGCTGAAACACATTTCCGCGTTTCAATCGTCTCGAAAGACTTTGAGAATCTGAACGAAGTGATGGTATGCCTGATCTTTTTTCCTTCCCTGACTCATTTTTATGGGACAGCGACACAGACTAGTTAAAAAGGCTCTGCAGGATGAATTGAAGTCCGGCGTGCAAGCTTTGTCTATCCAGGTATGAACTGTGGCTACTTTTAATTCATTTACCTTAGGCGCTGGCCCCTTCCGAGCATCTCGCCTGGGCCCCCTCAGTTCCCTGCGTCGGTCACGGCAGGAAGGATTTTGGGTCGTATGAGGAAAATGCATAGTGAACGTTCATTATTTCCGTAGCTCCTTGATTCCAACTATTGTATGATTTTACCTACCTTCTGTATCAAAATAAAAACTAGTAAAATATCTCCAATACCGAACTTTTTTTCAAAGTTTTGCTTGTACTGAGTTTTGAGTCCATCTGATTGGTTCAACTTTCGAAAAGCAAATGACTGTATTAGGGAAAAAACTGTTGTGTCATATTATCGAGGCAGAACGGAATTTCGTCTTGTTTTTATCGTAGGCAATGAAAAGGGCGGAATACGTGCTCTTCTACATAAGTAATAATAAATATTACTTGCGTGTCTTCCACGACATCGTTTAAGGCAACTTCGAGAGAATAAAGCATGTGCATATTTTCATTCCAGTGTAATCCCTCTTGCAAATCCTTGCCACCTTTGCAGTTTAGGGACAGAGATGGTGTTTCCTTTCCCTTGTGCTAAAATATTGACCTCTCCCCCCTTCGTGGGAGCCGCTGTAAAACAGTGAATTTGCTGACAA